ACCAACGCTGCAGTCACGCGACTTGAGCAGCGACTAGAGGAAGTCTTGCAGGCGTTCCAGCAGCAACAACCACGACAGTTCGACGCACCTCCGAGGCGCGAGCATCTCAGAGATGCCGATCACGAACGACGCCAGGAGCGCGATCGAGAAGAGGACCGTGAGCAGCAACGCGAGGAGCGAGATCAAGATGATGACTTCGACCGGCGATCCCAGGCGTCCAACGACTATGACCGGCCGAAGCCCGTCAAACCACGACTAACGCTGTCCGCCTTTACCGGCACAGATCCTGACGCATGGCTCAACCGAGCTGTGCAATATTTTGAGCTTAATGAGACTGATGGGAATGACCGTGTAAGGTACGCTGCTTACTATCTTGATGGGGAAGCCAACGTATGGTGGCAATGGCTTGTGAGCAGCTACCAAGGCAACCCGCTCCACATCCGATGGGAAGAGTTCGAGTGCGAATTCCTTGCTCGATTTGGGTCATCCGACTATCACAGCCACGACGAGGCGCTCTCACACATCAAGCAGATAGGGAGTCTTCGCGATTACATGAAGGAGTTCGAGCGACTCGCCTGTCGGGTGCGCAACTGGCCGATTTCTGCGCTCATCGGGACTTTCATAGGTGGTCTCAAATTCGAGCTAGCCGCAGAAGTAAGGCACGACCGACCCCGGACCATGCGTGAGGCCATGGAATCTGCACGAAGGAGGGATGAACACTTAACGGCCACACGGAGGGTCGGTCGAGAGAATATGCGTAACTTGGAGCAACGGCGCACGGACCAATACTTGAACGAGCGTACAATCATAGACAACGTACCATCGAATGTAAGCAACGTCCAACCTAACCCGAGACCACCGAACAACTTTCGAACGCCACCTCCAAATGTTAAACAACTCACGTTCGAGGAGATGAGACGCCGACGTGAGAAGGGTCTCTGCTACAAGTGCGAAGAAAGGTTCACCCCAGGCCATCAATGCAAACAAATTTTTGTGATTGAAGTCATTGAAGAGGACGAGGAAGAGGCCTACGAGGACCAACCAGCGCAGCAAGTGAATGAAAATTTGGAGATCTCGGTTAATGCAATGGCAGGCCTACAGGGACCAAGAACAATACGATTGCCCGCCACGATCAAGGAACGGCCAATCGAGGTACTAGTCGACACCGGCTCGTCGCATAACTTTATTTGCGACAAAGTACCTAAGGACTTAAAGCTCAAGGCAACAAAGGTGGAACCGTTCGATGTGAGGGTTGCCAATGGAGAGCGGCTAAGATGTCATGAATATTATCAAGAGGTGCCCATTAACCTGCAAGGCAAGATCATCAAAGCCGACCTCTATGCACTACCTATTGTGGGGCCAGAGATAGTACTTGGAATTTAATGGCTTGAAGGACTTGGAGAAGTCACTACGAATTACAAGAAAGGCATAATGGAATTCTACTCAGGAAGCCGACTCATCATGTTAAAAACCGAACCGAAAGGAAAAAGTCGAGAAGCCGAAATGAGGAGTTTGGAAATAGCCTCGATCCTTGAGGACAAGGATGTGCTTAAAGGGGGCGGGAATGATGCGGAAGTGGAGATCGGGCCCGGAGAACACGAGGGATGGACTGGCGTGGCCAATGGGCAAATGGGCGAGAGACGCGCATCGGGTGGTGATGCGCGGGCGTTGAGCGTGTACGCAGGCAGAGTCCTCGTCCGCATAGGAAAGACGGACACTCGACGGCACGCGCGCGGAAGGATCGATTGGAACCGGGCGCGCAAGAAAGCGCACGGGTGTAGCGTAAACGCGGGAGTCCTACACCGCGAGGGCATAGGCGTGTTGGGCGCATACGCACACAAGGGCGGCAGCGAAAGAATAGCGCGCAAGATGGCGCACGCGTGGGGGGCAGATGCGCGAAGCTTAGTCCGTGCGGGACTAGGCGAGGCTGAGGCGGTTGGCGATGACGTGCGTGGGGCGCAAGCGCGCGCGATATCGCGCGCAAGAAGGAATAGGAAGCCGAAGGTCGGCACGCACGGATGGAAGGCGTGCGTGACACGCCT